GGGGGGGGGGGGGTATGGAGCTTTAGGGACCAGGTTATGTGGGGTCGCACCTCTTCTTTTACTTTTTTTTGGAATCAATTTTGGCTAAGTTAATTTTCTCTTCATTTGATTTCGCATGTAACACTAAAAATAAAAGTCTCGAAACGGTACTTCAGAAATGCGACAACACCATGACTAATTAATGGCTGTATACACTGTGAAAAATTTACGAAAATTTTGTGAAATTAAATTAAAATTTAAGTTGTAAATTTACGACAGCACATTCTTTACTCGCCAAAGGATTTGAAGTCGATACATACTGCATGTATTAATGTATTTTTTACTATATTACAAATTGTAATTTTACAACTTGCGTCAATAAGGAAAATTTTCACACTAAACCCTTATGTATTTTGCTGTGCATAACATGCACAGCTGTAAGCAGCCATAGTTATGCACCAAATTTCATGCATAACTATGTAAAACTTCAGCATTACCATGCACAAATTCGTGCATAGTGGCCTTAGTTTTGCATACTTATGCATGAAAAACTGTGCATTGCTATGGCTGCATGAAATCCTGCAAGTCTTATGCACGACAGAATGCATAAGGATTTAGTGTGAATTCCTGTAAACCTACCTAATTTGTTTTCACAGTGTAACTTGCTTCTTTCTCGAGTAAGGCTGCTGTGGGCGACTCTGCTCTGCTCCCCCCTCTCATGGCGCCGGACGCCAGCCTGTTGTGCATCGGCCCCATATACATGTTTGCCGCGCTGGAGCAGTGCAGCGGCCTGCGGCCTGCAGCCTGCAGCGGGCGGTGGCGCTTTCCGCTCCCCGGACGGAATCCTCCCAATTAGGCTCCCCGCCCGGCTTGCCGCCCGGCGCGGTAGGGGTCGGGGGCTTATCGGCGGGACCAGTCTGTCCACCTCCTCGGTGCGCGGAGCGGCGCGGAGCGGCGCTGCTGTGCGTGGCCAAAGGAAGGCCGCACAGCAGCGGGAAAAAGTTTCCGTCTTTCGCACTATCGGGCTGGGAAAGGCGTATTGGAAAATACATGTAAGGCCTCGGGTTGCGTGTGAAAAGCGAACGTCGAGTATAGTGGTGAAACGAAATTACAATATTACCAAACCCCATATAATTTCTGCAGCCAGGAAATCTTGAAGCATGGCGAAACGCGTTAAATTAAGCAATATGTTTGGAAGAAAATACATGGAAACTTGTTCATGTATTCATTCCGTACTTTAATTCATGCTCCAAGTATCTAAATGACCAAATCGACACCCAATTACTTCAAAAAAAAACAAAACAAAAAAAGCACTCGCAATACTCAATACAGTACCAATGGTCCATTGGCCGATCGTGTACAATCGGGCTGTTATAACAACTCACCCTCACTCGCAATCGAGTTGGCAACAAAGTAACAAGACCGTTAATTTGAGATTACCCGTTATCGAAACACACACGCCTGAAGCATGCAACAATTATAATGAGTAACTAGTATGGTGGTGATGTGTCATAACGGTCCTCGAATATCATTACACCTGAAGGGCGCTTCCCTCTCTTTTCGCTTCTGTCTCTCTCTGTCTCTCTCTCTCTCTCTCCCGGCCGTCTGCTCCCCTAGCTCTTGTTGTTGTTTGGTCACCGTGCGATCGCAGCATTATCTACCCGCCTCCGCCCACCCCGCGACACTTGAGGATCTAATTTTATTATCAAACAATAACAACGACTCTGTTGCAAACCAAAGTGGGCAGCGCAAGCCAGACAGAATAAAAAGCAGATGGACGACAAGGTTTTTGTATATCTCCCTTTGTTTCCCTTTCTGGTTGCATGAGTTCTAATGTTATTGTTCGCAGCAGTTGAACAACGGCCTGATCGATCTCAGACGATCATCCTTTTTTTATGTTGTTTTTTTTTTTAGTTTTTTTGTTGTTGATGTTTTTTGTGTGTGTTTCTTTCCTTTTTTGTTCAATCACAAGCAGGGCCCCCGTTATTCCCGCTGTAAAAATTGCAAAGTTAGGAAAGGGGTAGCGGAAGGGGGGCTCGAGATCTCGCGCAGCAGCCGACTCTTCGAGATCTCGATAGCGAGTGCGCGATAGTTTTCCGGGGTGGTCAGATAGTTTGAGCCAACCCCCCTCCCTCTCTCCTTGAGCCGAGCCGGCCACGCGACTCGATGGGGACCGATTGCTTATCGGGCACGCCTCATTAAGACCTAGACATTGGACGCCGCGAGTTCAACTCCCGGGTATTTTTTTTTAATTTTCTTGTTAAAAAAACACACAGAAATAAAACTCCCGTTTTCTGCCCTGTCGACATGGTGCATCTGGCCGTCGTGCGTAGATTGAGCGCAAGTGTGGGCAAATCAAGTACACTACACTACTAAGGAAGTACCCATATCACACTGGGGCGTCGTCGTAATAAACGCCTAAAACTCTTGCTCGTTTCGAGTTTTGTCTTTATCTAATCGCATAGTAGAGAGGAAGAGAGAGTGAGAGAGAAAGGCACGGAGAGGGGAAGGGGCGGGCGGTGATTGCGCGAAATTATATTGTACAAAAGATAAACTGCCATTCATACCACCCCTCACCCCCTACTCCCAAAGACAAGTCGCGTGTTATATAGTTCACGTTTGACGTCACTATAGCGCAGCACTGACCAGCGTTATCATAGACCCCTCCTCCCATCCCCCCC